TGCTGTAAACACAGGGACTTTTCTTATGTATCTGAGAATTAACTCATGTTTAGAGCAGATGTGCAGCAACTGCACCTGTGACTGGTAAACTGGGCTACATGGAAATGTTTCCACAGAGAAAAGAAGAAATGTTCCTTTTGTGGAATTGTATTCTGTTTTTGATAAGAGAAAACAAGAGTGTAAACATCGCTACAAGGTTTTCAGACGCACAGAAAAATGAAGCACCATTTTATGCATGTAGTAGCTTTTTTTTTCCTTTTTTTTGTGTTCCAGTTTAAGCCCTTCTCATCAGAACTGAACAAGGAGGGAAAAAAAGAAATCCTGTGCTCTTTCAGGCACACTGTAACATCCAAACTGATGGTTTAGCACTTGTATTGTTCTTTAAAGTTGGAGGAGAGAGGCAACAGCATTTCGGTTCCTCTTTTATGGGCTATCAATAATCTTTTTCTGACACATTATTTGCTGGGTTGGAGGAAAATGGGGAACAGCACGGTCAGTGGTTCACCACAAAGGCTTCTGGGAGCTGGCGAGGGCAGTGTGCGTGGGCGAAGCATCCACCCTGGGACTCTGCCAAGACATCTTTTTGACCAGGCTACTGGAGCACTAAGGACCCGCGACAGAGCTGCACGCAGCCTCTGGGAAAAGCAGACGGAAGCAATTAGACGACACAACAGTCATGACAACGATGACTCTTTGGCAGATCGAGCACATTTCAGTTTGTAGAGAACTGCGGCAGACAATGTCTTTCATGACTTCTTGCTAAATTTCTGTTCCCTTCGGCTTGTCCTCCACTTGCTGTAGATATTTATCCACCTGACGACATCTTTCTTTATTTTTCAATTCTCTCCTTTGCTGGTTTTTCCACCCCTGTTGACCATCGTATTGGTGCAAGGAGTTGAACAACCATATTGCTTGTAAATTCATCACAGCTAAAGCTTTCAGGGAAATTAAATAACCCGAGGATTGAGCTTCTTTAGAGAGACCAATTAACATATTTTTCTCTAGAGGAAAATATTGCCTGAAGTTGAATGGACGGTAATTTTACGCATGGATTTTTCCATCCTAATTCTTAAAGCTTTGAATAATCCACAGAATTTGTTTTACAGAACAAGGGGTTTTAACGTTGTGTGCCGAAGCCGGGGTGGTAGAATTTTTAGACGGCTGTGTGTCAAAACAAATAACACGGCTTCTCAGAGGGTTACAAATACTGTTGTGTTAATTGAACATGATTCTGTGATTCAGTCTGCTGCAATTGTCTGCCTTTTTTTTTTTTCTTAACACGCTAATCCATATTTATCTGGGAGCAACAGAAGCTACAGAGTGTTTGATCATTCTGATTTTTGCCTACCAGTTCCTGGCAATATAATGTTCTTGAACACACTGAAGTGTTCTTTGTGTTTAACTTTCCCCAACGCCCTTAAAAGTTTTCTTGATGGAGCTTCGGATGTAGCCTTTTGCCATAGAAAGACGACCTTTCTGTATCTTTAAAATAATAACTCAAGGGAAGAGTTTTGTCTGAATAACTTTCAAAATGTCTCTTATGTTAAAGATCTTACTCTGATAATTTGGAAATAAAGGTTTCTTCCTGTCAAAGTGTCATTTTTGCACGCATTCTTGGTATGAGGGATTGTCAATGGCACAACGCAAACAATTGTGCTGCTACATTCTCGCCAAGGAGGAGTGAATGCTGCGAGTCAGTGACTTGATGCAATCTTCTAGGTTTCCTTAAATGTAAAAATGTTTTAACTAATTTGAATATCGAATTGAGCTTAGTAACTGGGATTAATTGGAATATTGAATTGAAATTAGCTTTTTGCAAAGTGCCTTGAGACGGCATCTTTTCTAAGGGGCTTACATAAATAAACTGAATTGAATTGAACATTATTTCATAAAAAATCAATGGTTCAATTGTTTAACCCAAAATACTGGTGTGTGTGTGTGTTACAGTAACTAAACTCTGAAAATGTTAAACTAGTGATATGTTCCCCACTTAGTGCATATTATATTCGGGCCAAGTTCTCTTTCTCAACTCGAAGAACTTTTTACACTTCTAACATCCAAAATCTTCTGCATACAAAGATCAAAGTGCTGCGAAGCTGGAACAACCCTTAATACTTCTCATTAGCGCAAAAACACAGATGCACAATGACACGTCTAACAGTTGCTGGTGTCAGCTGCTGATGCCTCCAAACAGCCCAGTCCTTGTATGAAACCAGCTAAGCAGACACTGAAACACTCTCTGAGTCTAGTCTGGTGTGGCTTAGCATGAACTCCATTTGTCATGTCGCCTCTAGGCCCAAACCAACAGGGACTTTCAAAAAAATGGGCTTTAAGTCTCCAACGGGTCGGCTGACATCCACTTCTACAGATCATTAAGGCTCCACGGCTTCTCCCTCGGCAGCCTCAAACACACCAGTAGAGTCATTAAAGCCAAAGTGTAATTAAAGTTGGAATAAACAAAGGCTTTCCTCCTGGTCTTCTTATTTCTCCCTCAAACCACGTGTGCATTGCTGTTTCACACAAATTCGCACATGCTTCCTGTTGCTCTCGACTTTCTTTTTTTTTCTCTCTCTCTTTTTCCTCCTTCTTAGATGGAGCATTTGGCACTTCTGAGAGCAAACTCTCATTGGCTCCAATGATGGTGGTGGGCATGGACGAAGGCCCTCAGCCTAATTAGAAAACTAAATACTTTGAGTAATGCCTAACCCCTGGGAATACAACTGCCATATCTCTTACACAAGTGATGTGGAAGGACCCAGAATGCCACTGGGGTGTTTCACTGAAATATCCTGTGCTGTTCCCGTTTGCACAGCTGTCCACACAGACTCATGCACTTAAGACAGCTTTGCTTTCATAGTTAAAATAGAAATTTGTGTCCTAAGTGCCGCAACACAGCTAATGCTAAATATTTAATTCCCGCGGGTGCTAATTATGGGTGAGTACTGGCAACACAGATTCCCTTTTTTCACTCCACATAACAACTGTAAAAGCAATTTAAGCATTTTTCAATTAATTAAACACATAGTCTTCCAGTAACCTCTTGTCATTTTGCCCTCCAGGACCATAGCTAATTTGTGTAGAATAGAAACTGAAGAGGGGGAAGGAGTTATGGGGGAGGGGGCTGGGTGCTGTTTTCATCTTTGCAAAATGCTCCTACAAAGGAATTAAAAATAGGGAGACACATCATTTTCACCAGCACTTAAAAAAAGATCACCCTCTATTATTCTTTTTCAAAAAGGTCGCAGTGTTGTAAGTGCAGTTTTGAATGTTATGAACCTACATATCAGATGATTGTAACCACGAGCAGCAGACCCCATTATGTTATCAAAGCAGTGCGAGATAGACTGGCCATGAAGCTAATCCCCGATGTATTTTTAGTCACAACTGACTGATGAAGTGAAATTACTACATCAAAGATAAAATGGCGCTCGCTGAAAAAGCCTTTGCAAGATCAGTCTGCGACATAGAGAGCTCTTTAAGAGGCTGCAAGTCAAACTGAACTTGTACAGCTGTGTTGGCTTATTCCACAGCACAGGAGCGAGAAATAAAGAAACGCCATAAATCTACAAACATCTCCAAATCTGCCATTCCGATGTGGTTAGTTTCACTTATTTGCGACTCATTAGGGGGATTAAAAACAAATAAATGACAAAAACATATTCAAAGAAGCAAGAAATTACAGGATTTTTTTTTTTTTTTTTACCCAGGAGCAAGTAGCATCACATTAGAATCCATAGATATTGTTCTGTCTGTTTATTCCTCTGGGTGAATGTATTTATGAGCCTGTGTGTGTCTGGGGGTTTAAGGATGGGCAGAGGCTTGTCCATCCTTTTCTAAAGGCCCCCTGTCATTGCTAGACATCAGAAGCAGGCTGTGAAATTCACCTAATAGTCATTATGGGGATGCCAGCCCCTGCACATGCAATACCTGCTTGCCAAGGTGGCTCCGCTCCTGCTTCATATTTGCATTGTGTCATCTTATCAGCATTCACCCAGAAAAAGGACAGATCACATTGCAGAATGACAGCCGCATAGCTAATATCAATAAATAAGGCAGAGGCAGGAGGGGGGGGAAACAAAACGCAAGAACATCAGAAAAGTACAGCCTTGAGTCATTTAAAAATAGCAAGAAAAATACTATTTTTCTCCTTATATAAAAATTAATGTCCTGAGTCTTTGGTTGGCTTGCATGCCCCCTCCTGCCATTTGGAGCAGCCAGGAAGGGTGAACTCTTAGAACACTGCGTGCTCAGTAACTTCTGGGCCCTCGCAGTCAATAAGGCTATTTCTGATCTCCGGATGGCTAGGGTTTCAAAGCCCATTTAAACGGGCTCCCACAAAGCCGGAAGCACCAACCTCGGGCCCTCTCCCTCCCAGTGTTTCTCCCTTTCTCCTTCCTCCACCACTCTTCCTCGAAATACTGAGAGGGAGGCTCAGCTTGCCTTCTCTTTCAGTGCAGGGAAAAGAGGGGTGGTGGGGGTGAGGTGGGTGTGCGGCGGGGGCACAAGGCTTCCACATGCACGGCGGTGAGGAAAGACGGGGTCAGGGCTCCCGGTGCTAAGCTGTGAAAGGCAAACGTTTGGCAGAGTAATTACACGCCGCACTGCTCTGGGAGTGATTAGTGATAGTTGTCTGTTCAAAGTGTTTGGAGCTCTCAGCCTTTATGGGCCACGCTTGCCTTACCTCTGCTTAATGTTTAGATTGGATTTGCATCAGGAAGAGAGTTGCATGTGTCAACATAAACAGTGCGCTTGGAAAGCTCAGCGAGTGAGAACTTGAATGTGCTTCGCTGGTGCAAAATATATCTCTCTATCAGGCAGAAATTGATACATTATTATGCTGTGCCTTCAACATTTCATCTACTTTAATCATTTTTTAAGTTATAATATTATACTACAGTTCCAGATTTTCTGTTTTTGTCTAAAATGATTCAAAATGTGCTGCTCCAAGGAGTTTCAGGGTTTTGCAAAAGCTATTTGTACATTTTTGCACTTTACAAATAGAATGAATATATTTTATTGGATGTTTATGTGAAAGATCAACACAGAGTACAAGGAAAGAACATGGGATTTTTGTGCTTTCCTATTGTTTTCCAAGTGAAAATCAAAAGAGTGTGGCATTCGTTTGCATTCAGTCTTCTTTAATTAGATTACCCTAAATTTAAAGGGTCAGCTAAAAGGGAGAAGCTGAAAGCAAGATTATGAAATAAAACAATTTCCCAAGATCTGGAAATCTCGGAGAGTGCGGCATAACTGTTTCCCTAACAAAAGATGGCCATACTCCTAAATTTTAAAAGCCTGGCAAGGGAAACTTTAATCAAAAGCAGCAAAAGGTTTATGGTTTCTCTGGATGAGTAACAGAGATCAACAGCTCAGGAGGGATAATCCACTGACAGGGAAACTATTAGTTGTATGCTTGAAAAGTAAAAACACTAACAAGGAATAACAGAAAGAAATCCTTTGTGGAAAGAACCCTGCATGAAGTCACATAACAGGCTTTGAATAGAAGGTGCTTTGGTCAGATGAAACCAACGTCATTCATTTTTGACTCGTTAGGTGGAACAAAACACCCTACCCCATAATGGCTTGAGGCTGGGCTGAAGTTCATTTTCCAAATAGATCATGACCCTAAACATACACCTGGACCTACAAATAAATAATTTAAATCCTATGCATTCAGGTTTTGCATGTTCTTGCCAAAATCCAGCTCAAAAGTAAATTGGCAGTGTTTGCGACGTCAAAATGGCTGATGCTCCAAAACGAACTGCAAAGAGAAATTGGCAAAAATTGCTTTCTGTTGACAGAGAGGGCTGGTGGAGCCATTCTCCAAAAGAGTTGCACTGAAAACTGCAGCAAAATGTGGTTCTACAAAGAGCTGACTCAGGCAGCTAAATGCAAATATACATATGGCATATGTGTTAGATTTTCTAAGTGAAATATTTTTAAAATTATGTATTATTTTCTTTCTTTGTATTGGTCTATCATAAGAAATCCCAGTGAAACACATTGACATTTTGGTGATAACATGACTAAACATGCACGGCGCTGCGCCTCTAGCTGTATCTGGTCTGTTTTGCAGCTCTTGAGCATAATGTTCCAACTCGGTCCAAATAATGCCTGCCCATTTCCGGGTCAGATGACACGAAGGTGCATTGTGATCACCTAGCTCAGATATCACAGGGTTGACAGGATTTGATGTCCTTTATGTGTTGATGTTGGCTTTTTGTTCTGTCCCAGCGCAGCCTGCAGATGAGAAGGAACTCCAGAAAACAACACATTTGGTTTTAAATCATCTCCCGATTCCAGGGTGTTGGTGTAACTGGAGAAACGTACAACAGAACACAGAAAGTTGGGGAAATAGGTAAATATTCACAGCAGCTGCTTTGCCTAGTACAATCAAATTGAAATACACATGATATTTAATTTCTCTTGTGTTCACTGTTTAAAGACATTAATAGTTGTAAAATGAGTAGCTTTCTATTACATTTTCAAATCTACCTCACCTACAAAGTATTATTTAAACCCCTGAAAGCCTGGGATACAGCTGAGAAACATATTAATCCTCCTGAAATCTTTTAGGCCAAACAAATATCCGGACAAATCAGAACTGCATGTATCTAACGGATGATAGGCATCATATTTCAACACCCTCTCCCCCTAATCCCAACACACAGGGGCCGACTGACACAGGCGGGATAGCTGGGTGGCAAAGCAGAGCAGAGACAAACACGGCCCCGGACAGGAAAGGAAATACCTCAGGGACTTTTAGGGATTGGTGAAAAGGTAAGGCAGTACCTGCAGTGCAATCCCTTCCAAATCTGCACCAGGTGTCAGGTATTAGGGGGAGCATCTCCTCTTTGGATTTCCACATCTGGTTCAATCACCCAGGGCAGTGTGTCAGACGTTGGACAAAACAGAAGAAGACAACAGAGAACATTTCTGACGGGTAAAAAGAAAAAAAAGAAGACTGTACCTTGTCAAAAAAAAAAAAAAAAAAATCATGTGGAGGATAATTGAATTATTTTAAATGATTCACAGGACTGACATTTAAATATTAAATCATGTGTGAAAGTACTCTCATGAGAGTACGGAATAACGTAAAGACTGCAGTGAGACAAAAATATGATATGTGGGCAGGAGAACTGAAGAGTTTGGCTTTTAATGAGTTAGATTTAGAAATACAATTACACTCAATCCCATGGAGGGTTTCAGTTAACTACAAAGAGAAGTGAGACCAGACAATTCCCTGTGTGATAATACAAAGCAAGAGGGTACTCTACAGAATGAGGAGCTCGGTATTAATATAATATCCTCAATCGTGAAGACAAATTCGAAATTGCTCTAACGCTAGCTTCTCGGCTTCAATGAATTAAGTGTTTTAGCAAGTACAGCTGTCCTGAAATGGAAAATAAAAAAAGTGAAAAAAAAATAAAATAAAATAAAAATACGGCACTTACAAGGATATGAAGCGAAGCTGGCATTGTTGTTGCCACAGATTATACATGACACTCTAAATCACTGGGGCTGATTGTGAGATGTTTAAATGTATCAGAGGCAAGGGAGACGAAACTTAATACCCCGGTGCTGGGAGACGGAGAATGCGACCGGGCACGTGCGGAATGCAGAGTGGCGGAGAGGAAAGCGGCAATCTACATTTCTAACGCCGAGGATGTTTCCTATTCTGTGTTTATGAAACATGGCTACCGGGACTACAAAGGTAAGGGGATACGGCATCAAAGTCTGCCCTGACAAAAACAAAACAAAACAAAAAAAAACAAAAAACAGCTGCAGTGGAATGCGTTACAGAACATAATACTCCACCTCCTCCTTCTCCTCCTCTCCCCTAAGCAGTCTCATTTGATTACAGTGTAGCAGGCCCAAAATCAACCCCTTAATCCCAGTTCTCACTCCCCACTGGTGTTGTGAGTTGGAGGTAGAGCAGAAGTTGGCAAAGCGACACGGGGGACGGGGAGCCGGAGAGCTGATGTGTTGTGGAGGAGAATCTCTCATTCGGAGAACAAAGGAACACGGTTAGCTGGTGAGCCGACGTGTCCGCAGCAGGGGCTGAAAGTGGCTGTTGTCCTCAGCGCGGTGACTCAGGTGGAGACAGCATGTCTGATGACGGTGGAGGCAGTGTATCGTTTACAGGCTCCCTTCGAGAAGCCCCCTTCGCATGTCCGTCTCCAGCCACAGATTTTTGCACTCTACTTAGGGCAACAAGAGTCAGGCTCAGCATTACAAGCCTATTAAAAGATACTTTTAATTATGCCCCACTCTCCCGGGATCACTTCTTCCGTGACTGCTGTATTTCTTTGGCATGTGCACTTAGGAATGGCACAACCAGGAGCACGTGTTGTTTTCTCCTTCCAATTAAAGGGCATGTTGACAGATTAAGGCTGCTTCTGGTTTGTGCTCCACTAACGCATTTAGGGAAGATGATGAACACTGGGGAGTTGGTGGGGCTGCGGAGGGGAGGGGTAGTGGAGGTGGAGGTAGGGCTGAGGTAGGTGGGTTGGAGTTGAGGTGGGTCTGCAGAGGGGTGGGTGGGGGGGGGGCGTCGGTATAAGGAGAGGCAGATAGAAGAGAGCAAACAAGAGAAAGAACATGCACATGAACCCTGAGGGATTAATGTGTTTACATTACCTGGGCTGTGATCTATCACCAACCTCGTCAACTTCTATTATGCATCACATACATAAGCAAGAAACAGACCTGGGAGCCCCTGCAACTCACTCATACTATTTCAATTGGATTAAGTCAGAGCAAATATCTGGGACACTGCTCCCACACTGTGGTTTCAGTGTTTTGGCACTCATTGGATTTGCACATTGTATCGCCTTACGTTTTGTGAAGCAACACACTTTCCTCCTTCCTGCGCATCTCATGAGCTTTAAGGTAGAATGGAATTATTACCTGATGGCATCTTCAAAACAAACTGTACTTCTGGTTGGATCAATTAAGCCGAAACAAACAAGTACTACCAGAGAGACGGGGGAATAACTGTTCATGTTTTTCTTCTTCTTTGGTTTCCAGCTGTAGTGTACAGGTGTGTCTCGAAGTTCGTATATAAAACTTTTTTTAGAAAGTTATTTATCTCAGTAATTCAATTTTAAAAAAGTAAACAGTAATTATATAGATAAAAAAAACACAAATTAATACATTTGAATCAATTCTGGTCATGTTGGTGATTACAGCTTACAGCTAAAACCCAAAATTTAGTCTTGCAGACAATTATATTATTACACAACAAGCAAAAAAAAATGAATACAGAAATATTATTTTATAGGTATGGTATGGCCCACAAAAGGACTTCAGCTAATTTAACATACATATGTAGCAGATAAGCACTGACAGCAAACAGGTGATCTACATCAAGCCATTTCTAAAGAGGGTCATTCTTCACTATTAGCTGTATCCAAACATATTATTGAAAAGTTCAGTGGAAGGAAAAAGTGTGACAGAAGAAAGTCTGTCTCAAGCTCTGCCTTGAGAGAACTGTGAAGAAACAAAAATACATTAATTACATTTAATTGGTATTTCCAATATGAATTTTTGGAGAAATTTAATTTTAGGTTTTTATTTAGGTGCAAGCTATAATTATCAAAATTAACAGAATTAACTGCCTGGAACATATCCAATGAATAACAATGAATATTAATAATATAATACTCACTTTTTAAAATGTATTTCTGAAATAAATGTACTATTAAAGATTTTTTTTAGCTGTCCCTTCATAAGATACGTTGTTGTAAAGTTTTGGCATCACTAAGGATGCCTGTAGTTAAGTCTGAAGGAAGGGTCACTGCAAGAGCTCATATTCACACTCCGGCATTATTCAATCAATATTCATTTACTTGGTGAGTCTATTGACTCATTTCTGAAGGAATACAGAACTTCAGGTCGTCCATCTTCAGATGAAGAAGTGTGAATTATCCCACTTATAGCTTCTGCCATACGAAGTGAATCTTGATACGCCCCACAGATACAGGGGTAAATAAATATTTCTAATAAAACACCAAAAGAAGAAAAAGAAGAAGAAGAAAAAAAAAGAAATCAATGGTTGCTTCCTGTGATCCTTCTCAGGCAAATCAATCATCATCTGCTCAGCTGGCAGGCTGCTGCTGGAGGACGGTGCTGCAGCTAAACAGAGAGAGAGGGAGACAGAGAGGGGTGTGCAGTCTTTGTCTGATACCTCTCATTTTGGAATCACTTCTCATAATGGGGTCATCATTTCATCACTTAGCCAATCCAGAGGTCTGCCATTCAGCTTGGCGGGGGGATTGTGGGCAGTGAGGGTGAGATGTGCACGGGTACAGAAACCCCATCAAGAGGAAACACACACTCACTCTCACACCATGCATCTTCATTTAAGTCACTGAAGAAGTACAGAGAAAACAAACTTGTTGCCCTTAAAACTCATATCAGCTCATCGGGTTCCAGATCATTTGTTTGTTTGTTTTTGTTCTTCTGTTTCACAACACAAACTGATTTGATAATTACAAAGTGGTCATTCATAAAAGGCATTCACAAAAATGAGGAAGGAGGCAATTACTGACAATTAAGTCAAGTAAATGAAAATGAAGTGTGTTTGTGGTGTGTTTGGAGCCTGAAGGAGTGTGTGTTCATTGCTTGGTGACTTGAGAAGACGTCCACATCATGGATCTGAATGGATTTCAAACAAAACACAGTCAGTACAATTTAAAAAAAAAATACAAAAATGTACAGTTTTGTTAGGTAACAAAAGAAAAACACTTTTTAAATGAAAACGGACCGCATCTAAAAATCCAAAACACTACTGAGAACAGTAGCTAACATTTTCTTAATTCAGGTTTAGTCAGCATGCAGAGTGCATGTATGTTTAATCATTTAATAACCCTTGGAGAAAAAAAATGCAAGGTCAAAAATAAATTACATCCATTATTTGCCGCAGATCTCCCTAAAGCATTTGGAGCGAAAACTGTTTTGAATTTCAATGGGATTCCAAGTGGCAAAAGCCCTCAGCTAATACATCAAAGAAAAATTGGTGTCAACTAATCGGTTTAGGACACAGATTTAGAATGGTTAAAAATCCCATGAATACTTCAAGCATTTTTTCCCCCTTTTTCCTGTACACCACTTAAGGCTTTGGGGAGCAGCGCAAACTGACCTTGCGCTCCAGAAACCTGTCCGCCACTCGACACAAATGACTGTTTAACTTCATCCAGCCACGCAATTAGTCCGCCACAATGCATAATGTTGTGTAATAATAGCCTCTATATCCAATTTAGATTACAGTTGCTCCCTCAGGCATTTTAAGTGGCACACACTATCTTTCACTCGCTTCTTCTTAGCCAAGAAAAGCCGTTTTCATGCGTCAAAGAAAATAAAAATGCGGTGTAATTCTTTCAAGAGGAAGGAAAGAATGGGAAAAAAATAAAAATGAAAAAAAAAACAAAAACAAAAAAAAAAAACAATGAAAACCCAAGATGACATCCCACTTTCACTCATCAGGAAAAAAAAAAAAGGGGAAGACGCTACTTACCTCCTCCTTTATCTGCACGGCGCTGAGAGGCGGTGGCAGCTGCTGTAACCCCGCTCCTTTTAAAGGCGCTGGGATCTTCAAATCATGGCTCTGACTTCAGGGAGCCGACTCTGAAACAAAACGCATCAAGACAACATGACACACACTCTCTAACTCTTACAACACACATCTTACTAAATACGATAAAATAAAATAAAAAAGATTTGTTCACTAAAAAAAGAGCTTCTAATAAAGAAACATGCTCCCATTTTACTAATTAAGTTGCATTTTACATGACAAATATTTGGAAAAAAAAAAAAAAAAAGAGACTTTCAAAAACTCTTAGAGAAAGTTCCGATTTGAAGCGGACTCTCTGAGCAGGTCTATCATATCAGTTTCATCTCATCAGCCTGTCATGTAGAGGCCGCTTCCTGCGTCCATCCTTCTCTCTCCCTTTTCTCCTCTCCTTTCTGTGACTCTCCTGTCTAAAGTCTGAGTGTGCTCGCACTGTGTAACGCCGTCATCACTCTTTGCTCTCTGGAGGGGTTTCAGAGCGTAAGAAGCACGTGACAGAGTGTGTGCATACACTCTTTAGCAGCGCCTACAGCGATCCCTTTCGGCTCATCTGAGACTTCAGCTGCAGCCAGTCACCAAATTATTTAAACTTTAACTTAAATTATTAAATCACTATAAAAACGGAATAATCCTTAATAATAAATAATATTAACAACAACAACAACAATAAATAATAATAATAATAATAATAATAATAATAATAATAATAATAATAATGGTGTTATCTTTATATTATTATTATTACAGCTTAATACATCATTTAACTTCCTGTAAAGGGTCTGTCATAATTGAAATAAAAATAAAAGTTCCAGCATCTGTTGCATTCTATTTATTGCCATCCTGCATTTCAGAATAGAAATATATCTGCTGAGATCAAATGAGATTACACCCTCTAGTCCAGGCGGATTTGGCGTAGTTGGCACTAATCTGCCGCGGCTTCAGGGTTTACGACTTTCTGAGAGCGCTTATGGGTCTGGTTTATTCCAGGATCCATTGCAAAAACTATTTAGTCTCCGTCTCAGTTAAATCTGTCGAAGTTTATTATTAAGAACAAGCCACGAATGTCCCTCTTCTATTGAAAAAAAAAAAATGATGACGGTGATTTGTATTCTTAAATTTACAGGGGGAAAAAAATGTTCCGAGGGAAAAAAGTTGCTTCTTCTCGGTCTGGAAGAGTTTTCGCCGTTTTACTCTCACTTTTCTTACAAGCGCAACACCTCAGCTGGCGTTTAAGAAAGCCGACAATTGCAATAATCCATTTGAACCACCCCAAACTCCCTCCACAGACGCGGATGTGAACACAATGCGCGCAGAGATCGAACAGCATCTGTCTGCTCGTTTAGCGCACGAAATATGGAGGGGGGACTGGGGGGGAAACACGCGTTTTCTTTTTCTTTACGCACAAAGAAAGCGATCGCTGCAGCGAGGCGCCTTTTTTTTCGTTCCTGGCGGTATCTTGCAAGCCCACATCTCCTGCATACAACAGCCGATTTGTTGTTGATCAAGTGTGAAAGTAAGGACTTCGTATTTGGGAGAAAGGGGAGGAAAGTTGAGAGTTGATAGACTCGCATGACGTCGCCGTCCAAAAAGGGGGGCTGCCAGGCGCACTTGAGGCTCACTGCAACGAGGCTTGTTAAAAACGGGAAAAATAGAGAAATTGAGAATGAGAAGGCTTGTTAGTTAACGCGAGAGAAGGGAGGGGGTGAGGAAGAGAGAGAGAGAGAGAGAGGGGGAGAGAGAGAGAGAGAGAGTGCATGGGTTTGGACAGGGGTTGTGGTTACCCAGCATAAGCTTGCCTTTCCCTTCTGTGACTACACCCCGCGAGGAGGAGCGTGCTGCGCAGCGTAGTAGGCGTCAGGATCCTCAATTTCCAACTTAGCATCTTGGCAGGACGTTTTCCCAAGCAAAGCCCCCCGTCCGACGGGAAAAAATAAAAAAAATAAAACTTCTGCACAGGCATGAGAGCGACGGTGCAACTCAGATAAAGGAGCAGCAGACTGTGAACTCTTCCGACGGACAGAGGCTGGCTGGCTGGCTGGCTGGCTGGCAGCGACCAAAAATAATCCGCTTCTTTTTTTTCTTTTTTTTTTTTTTAATTTCGGCAGTTCACTTTTTGATTTCTGCGCTGTCATTTGCAAGAAGAGGACAGACATCGGGGTCTGCATACACGTAGCTCATATGCGCTCCGGCAGCAGCGCATGAGAAGACACACACAAAAAAAGCGGGGGGAAAGTGCGCAAGTTTAAGTGGCTTCACACTCTCGGGGCTCCAGCATGGCGTATCCTCAGGGCTACTTGTACCAGCCGTCCGCCTCTTTAGCCCTGTACTCTTGCCCCGCGTACAGCACCAGCGTCATATCGGGACCCAGAACCGAGGAGCTTGGGAGATCCTCTTCGGGATCCGCGTTTGCGCCCTATGCCGGATCTACCGCGTTCACCAGCGCCTCTCCGGGCTATAACTCCCATTTACCGTACAGCGCGGACGCGGCGGCGGCTGCCACTTTCACCTCATACGTGGTGAGTAAATTAAAGGTGATTATTGATCCAGAGAGAGCGCAGAAAGCGAATCAGAAGTGAAAAAAAAGTGTAAGGGTTCTGCTTAATCGAAGCAAGAGGTTGTGTTTGTTAAAGTAAAAAAAAAAACAACTACATTTTCAGGAGTTTCCGCGCCAGTATATATATATATATAATTATATATAAAATTTGTAATTTGTGTGTGTGTGTGTGTGTGTGTGCGTCTGTATTTTTTATCTAAAAAGGAGAAACACTACCCTGAATTCACTCTGCACGACAGAGTGCAGAAGCGCCATATGATTGGAGCTTATGGGTCACTATTTGTTTTTATAAGCTTATTAACTGCGTCAGCTGCGGAATTCAACCCCAGCTGCAATGAAAATTAGATTTGCCGTTTTGATTTTGAATCTCCTTGTTGTTGTTTTTCCCCCATGAGATAAGTTCTCAAACCGTCTTTAAAGGCCAAATAACAACAAAAAAGGCACATGAAAATTAAGATAATAGAATTATTATAAGGACTATATTATAGGTCGTTTTATACTTGTTCAATAGTTTGTCCAGCAAATATTTCGTACCTATGTGTTGCGACAAAATAAAACAGGAAAGTAAATGATCAGACATCATTTAAGACATAAAAGTTACCCACAACTCTATAAACATTTTACTGAATTTAAGGCATGTGCGTCATCATGCGCGTTTGTTTTACAGTGCACGCGCATGTGCGTGTGTGTTTACTTCTGATTTTTTTTTTTTTTTGCAATTGTTTAGAAAATAACTCAAGTTTCAAAATATTTGTGCATTCACTAATATTTTTTGTTCTTATTCCAGAGTTCTCCCTACGATCACACAACGGGAATGGCTGGTTCTATTGGATACCACCCTTATGCGGCGCCCCTGGGCACCTACCCTTACGGTGACCCCGCATACCGCAAGAACGCAACGCGGGACGCCACCGCCACCCTGAAGGCTTGGCTCAACGAGCACCGAAAGAACCCATATCCAACTAAAGGGGAGAAGATCATGCTGGCCATCATCACCAAAATGACCCTCACACAGGTGTCCACCTGGTTCGCTAACGCCAGGAGGAGGCTAAAGAAGGAGAACAAGATGACCTGGACCCCCCGCAACCGGAGCGAGGACGAGGAGGAGGACGAGAACATCGACTTGGAGAAAAATGACGACGACGAGCCAAACAAGCCTCTTGACAAGGGGGACTCCACAGACACGGAGGCAGGTCGGTGTTGCAGGGGGGGAAAAAAAGAAAGAAAAAAAAGGGGGCAAAAAAAAAAATCATCAATTTTTCATCGCAGTCGTTTCCACTCAAGGCGCAAAATTGATTGCTGGTTAATGGTGGTGTATAATTTATAATGAGACAATTGCTTTAAATAATAATCACCTTGAAGTCCCCTCGTTTGACTTTTCATTGGCTGAAATTGCTGGGGACGCGCAGTGTTTAGCAGTCAATTTATCTTTAACGGCATAATAAGGATGCAAATGCTGAAGTGGGCTGGGAATTCAAGTGAAAGTGCTTTTACTCTGATTATTTCTGCTGAACACCATTATAATTCTAATGCATCAAATGGAAAATATAAATGTATATATTTTTTAAAAATCGCATGGTAATGTTAACAATCTTTAATTATTGTAATTATGAAGTAATTCCGCTTTTTTAGTCTAGTGCACTTATTTATGAGGAACTTTATAAGCGCAGTAAAACGAATGTAGTTTTGCTTAAATGTGATATTTTAGTACATAGTAGTTTTTTTTTTCTTTTGCCTCATGATCACCTAAAATACTTTTTTTTTTTTTTCCAGTTCCACCAGTAATGCGCTGTTGCGATTATTTGGCAATGATTCCTTTCTTTATTTGCGCTTCAGATCACAAACTACTGAACCCAGGGGACATTGGCTGTGACAGATTTAAAGAAGAGAGCCATGGTAAAGAGACGGATCCCCTCCTGAGCGACTCGGAGTTAAAAGAGCAGGAGGAGCGGACTACGGAGCTGCTGCCGGACTCAGCCAAGCCGACCACCTCGTCTCCACCAGCGGTGCCCCGGGGGAACCAGGCCGGCGCGACGCAAGACAAACCGTCCGATTTGAGCCACCCGCAGAATACGGTGACCAGCAACGTGACCTCTGTTATCCACTCGCCCCCTTCAGCCCCTAAACCCAAACTTTGGTCGTTGGCGGAGATCGCGACGTCTTCAGACAGGTGTAAGGGAAGCGGCGACGCGCAGCAGGCGTGCCCCGGCTTGGGTCAGAGCGCAGTGCTGGGCACCAACGCCTCTCCGTCCCGGTCCTCCCCCCAGTGCCCGCTCCCCAACAGCACGGTCCTATCCAGGCCTCTGTACTACACCTCCCCCTTCTACCCCGGCTACACGAACTATGGTGGCAGCTTTGGACCCCTTCACAGTAACCACGGCTCGGTGACCACGGGCTCCACGGCACATTTCAATGGATTAAACCAGACTGTGTTAAATAGAGCAGAGGCCTTGGTAAGGGAGAGCCAGAAAGTCAGAGGCCAAACGCAGGTAGATCTTTGTAAAGACTCCCCTTATGAACTAAAGAAAGGTATGTCAAATATTTAATACCTGAATATTTTCCACTTCACCACGGACTTCTATTTATTTTATTTTTTTGTGGTTGCATTGAAAAAAAAAACAACAAAAAAAAACAAGGAAAAAAAACGAACAAGAAGAATGCTGAAGCAAATTCTGAGAATATGGTTATTTTCTGAGTAAATGCTTATCTTCAAAATAATTTTTAGTTTCTGAATGGTTAATCCTAAAAAAAATGTAACAAGAATGGTCTTAATTGCTGCAGCCGCCTATTTGTATGAAAGACTAACATGTATATTTAATGTAGCTTTTTGTATTTAAAATGGACAACACGCTATCTTTGAAGTAAATTATGGAGAAAAAAAACTACACACTTGTGCAGAGGTTATTTGGTGGAACAGCTGATGTTGCTTGGTTTGTTTACTTGCATTTTGCACGATGACAGATGGTCTAAAGGTCATTAGTCTCACAACACACAGGCAGTTTTTGGGAGTTTTGTTTTTATGATTTTAATTTTATTAGGTCAAATTCCACTCAATCCTTCAATTATTTTCAATGTCTCTTTTTTTCTTGCGCGCGTTTCTAAAAGTGGATGTTGACATAACAACAGCAGCAAAGCGCAGCCATTTAACCCAATTACCTTTTCGTGTTCTACCCAGAGCAATCAGGTGCTGAACTCCGGTAATGAGCAGGATTTTATGCCAAATTTAGACCTCATTACTATTTTCTAAGGCGTGGCAAAGCTGTTTAAAAGGGACGCGACCATGCATTTAAAACATACTGGCCCATTATATATCATTAATCGAGTCTCTCTCTCTTTTTTTTTTCTTTTTTTTTAAATTGCGCGTTAGATGTGAAACTCTGCAGAACGTTGCCATGCAGGCAGCAGACACAGAAACATATTATGAGTGCGTGCAAGCCAGCGCTCTCTCTATAACTCTTCCAACTTCTGCAGGTAGGTGTCACACTTGCTCCTACAATTTCAGGGAGGGGTGGGGTGTGGGAGTCTGGTAATCCGTAACGGAAACCCATCCGCGATCGAATTGCCTGGTAAAAGTTATTATAATAAAAATGTGATAATAAGTACAGCAAAAAGAAGAAGAAAACAAAAACAACTGAAGCGACAACAGTAATCAGTTAATGTGACGGGAGATTAAAAATGGCATAACTTCAGAGCAATAAGGAAGAAATCAGACTAAATTAATTATCACATTTTATTATTTTTTAAAGCTTGTTCTTATTGAATATAGAGGCGCAAATAATTCAAATATTATTACGAAACATTAGGATTAGATGTGTTGTAGGCCTCAAAGCCAAAAGGCCTTATTTTCTTTCTTTTTTTTTTACTGTCAGTTCTTTTTATTCGTTTTTTTTAATTTATTTATTACCTCTTTTTAAAGGGCATTGAAAAGGTATAATTATTATTATTGATGTCGTTATTGTTGACCTCCACTGCTGTGGGATGGCATGCTCTTGTTTATGGCCGCCATTAATCTCTATAGTTTGCTTTTTTTCCCCCACTTCTCCGGCGTGAAATCTCCCCTGAGGTTTCAATAATTCCCTTAGCCTTAATGTCCTCTGTTCGGCTCCTCTATTTTAATCTGACAGAGTGTGCAAGAGCAGTGATTGCGACACATCAGCCGGCTAAATAGCATAATTATGTTTTTTTGTTTTTTTTTACACCCTTCTTTTTCTTCTTCCTGCTGTTGATCCCCGGAGGGATATGGAGCTGTTCGATGCGACGTCTCCTCAGAGAGTATTTAGGAGTTTCATTAGAAAACATTACCGAATCATGTGTGTGAAGACATTATTTTTTTTTTTTCCCGTCTTTTGCTGAATTTCTTTAGGATTCGAATTTGTATGATTGAGATAGATTAGGGAAGTTTTTTTTTTATATTTGTTTACATTTGATTTTAATTCAAAGGGAGTTTTAGGCGTTTGACAAATCACAACTAAAAATACAATTTTTAAAAATTATTTTTCGTCTTTTTTATTTTATTTCCCATCTTTTATTGGATTACTTGCCTTTTTTTTCTAGTCCCACGATTCAAGTTGACTTAAAATATTTACTACTTCAGTATGCATATCCATTCATTTTGTTAATATTATTATTATTATTATTATTATTATTATTATTATTATTATTATTATTATTATTATTATTACAAGAAAACGTTGGGAATTAACATATTCAATGTCGATATAAGCCTATGTTCTATAATGCTGAACTGCTGAAGGGGCTGTGCAGGAATTACAGGCCTAACTGTAATTATCTTCAAGTTTCTGGGGAAGAAAATGAAGATGAAAAAGAGAAAATCACCAACCAAATTAATATAGACTGTATATAATCGTTGATTATTCTTGTTCTCTTTCCCTGCGTGATAAAAGCCAGTCAATTAACCCCAGATTACTCGAGGAAGCGGAGCGGGAGAATTTGCGAGCCTTCATCAGAGAAGGCATGACAGCCTGCAGGGGAGATCCTCCCAGCAACTTTTTTTTTTTTTTTTTTCCCTCAACTCGGTCCCTGGCTTCCCATCCGCTTGAATGGCGTGTCGGTTCATTGTTGGGATCGCTACAATTTGAGAATACTAAGTAGGCTTGAAGCCGTTCCCACGTGTGAAAATGAAGGGGGGAAAAATAAGCCGACAGGGGGAGAAACTGGAGAGGAAGAAGAGACGCTCTGTAACCTTCACTCCGACTTTGTTACTGAACCTTAAGCGTATAGAATCGGGTTAAAAATGTTTGTTTCGTTGTTGTTTTTTTTCTTTTAGTTTTTAGTTTTCTACTCTTTTTTTTTGTTTAACCTAAAACAACCTGTATATATCCTGCAGTCCCCAATAATACATTAATCATAAAATTAAATTAATTATATCACTTTAAAAAACAGTCATATCGAAATTGTTGTCACAAAGGGAAAAAAAACCGACTAATTGTTTCCAGCTGGATGACATTTTCCTGGTTCAAATAGTTGATATTCACGAACAATGAAGCCAATATAAACGAATGAATAACAAAAATAGACAAGTTTTTAATAATGTTTTTTAGATAGATCTAACAATGTGGCGGACATCGGTAGCGACCACAAAACAGTTAATGAGAGTTATACTTAAATTTTATGTATACTTTTTTTCTATTTTATTTTGTTCGATTTTTTTTTTCTTTTTTAGAAGGCTGAATGAAACTCAGAGATTTCGTTTTGAGGCTGACATAAGATATGAGAACCAATCCAACCTCGACATCGACCGGTCAAATGTCTCGTTGAACGCCTCTCAACTGTTTATCTGCGTCGGTCCGCGGTGTGAAACCAGAACCTGTTGAATTTCGCTCATAGCGCTCGGAGCATCTTATATAAACAAGACTATTGATGCAACACGACTTTGTAGTTGGGAGTCGGATTCAGCTCGAGTGCGTAAAAAGACACCGGCTGTATAGTTGGCAGACTCAGATTATTCGCAGGGGTCAAGCTCATGTGCTGAAACGCACCCGATGCCAAGTGCGAAAAAATAAATTAATTTAAAAAAAAATAGGGGCCTCAGAAAATATGGTTGTTTATAATTGTCACTGAGGCTGCAGAGACGTTCGATGCATTCTTCCACTTCTTTGAAATATTCTAAAACACAAGATGACATGGTAATAAGTATCTGTAAAATATTTTTGCAAGGTTTGCTTTGCCAGAAAGATTAAACCTCCGCCATAAAAAAAAAAACAAACAAAAAAACAAAAAACAAGGGGGGCTAATTAAGGACGCAAGATTTTACTTCTTTATACAGAGAAGTGTTTTGGTACAGAACCAGTTCACCTTTATGTCTAAACAAGGTGCTGTATATAAAAAAAAAACAAAAACAAAAAACAAACAAACTCTGACGTCTCTGTGTAACATTACACTCTAATCACGCAGAGTAACTTGCTCATGTTAAATGGAGTTATAAAGCAGACTTGAACCTACTTAAGTGGCCCAGATAAAGTGTCAAAAAGTGATTTACCTCTGTTTTCCTGCACTTCACGGACTGTTTTTCTATTTCTCCATATAGAGCCCCTCTGGGAGAGATTACATGTGTAATTTTCAGCTGTGAGATGTTTTAAGTGACCTACCCCCCCTTCTCCCCCAACATAAATAAAACATTTTTATGAAGTACAAAAAAACAACATTATAAAGGAGTGATGCGCTCAGATCCTTGGACTGGACTGCCATGTCCAGTCCAAGGATCTATATATGTCTATATAT